TTCATCTGTTCCTGGAAATGCGAGATGTGTGATTGGTCAGCGGTCCTAAACATTTCTTGTCCATTCAGTTGCTGTAAACGTAGGCACTCCATTTGTGACACGATTTGGTTCTGCCCTTTGCAGTAAGCTGCTATCAGCGTCAACTCATTTTGCATATCACACATCACGGAATGTTTCTTTCCTTCCCTTCATGGAGTGCCACCTGATGATCCGCCTGCAACTGAGCGATTTGTCACATTACAAACCGAAATTGAAGCCGCATTAGGAGCAGTCGTAGGGGTTGAAAATTTCTTTATCAAGGGTGGCAAAGAAGACAAAGGAAGAGCTATTTGCTGCCATGGAGGACACAGTGCTGGACCTGCGTATGGCTGAGAGCAAATCGTTGAACGCTGCTGGAGCTAAACCGGAGATGGTGAGCATGACAGGCGACAAGATGATGTGCCCACTCGTATGGCGAATCACAAACGTACCTGTTGGGGTTCACAAGACGCAGGATGTATCTGCGTAGCTGAAAGGGATCACAGTAAGTGGCAACGCTGGTGGCCTGAGTGTTGTCGGTTTCTCCTCTGACTGCTGCTGTAGCTACTACCGCTTTGCCTCCCTTGCCTTTTTCTCCTCTCCTACTTTTCGATTCCCGTCTGTAGAACTGGCAAGATGTGATTGCGACGTGGAAGTAGTTGAAAAGTTCCATTTGTGAAGCCGCAACATTGGAGGTGAGGGCAAAGAATCTACCACTTTTGATCATGACGTGGATGCATTTATCCAATCTGCTTGGTAAGGTGGGTCAACAAAGGCACTTGTGCACAGGGAGGGACAGGATGCAGGCCGGAGCTGAATATCCAGGTGTTCCACAAAGTCAAAGACACGGGATGGCCTCGGTTCGTCTGTTTATAGTGTGCAATGACATCGTGCCTTGCATGGAGTAATGGCGCCAACCGGACCAGAAGGGGCAGCCGCGTCATTTCCTCAGCAAGCAGGAATTAATGGAGGAAGTGGGCCTTTCAACACAACCGAACGAGCTCATAGTCATGAGGCAGCATACATTCATATCAACAGTCAACCTGGAGAAGCTTTGTGCTGATTGTGATAAG